CCTTTGTGTGTTGCCTGGGAATAGTGATTATTTCCTTCCACCTTCTTTCAAATTCCTAAATTTCTTACAAAGTTCTAACCCTAAAGATTCTAAATTACCCCTTGTGATTCATATCAGTATCTCACTAATCTTTTCCAACCTTCGTCATCTGTAGAAATTTGTTCAAATTCTTTCGCCGATAATTAAGATGAATGAACCTAATAATGCAGACCATGAAATATTAACTCAGTCAACACAAAACTGAGAAATCAGTGGTTAAAATTATCCCTCCAAGGATATGAATACTAGACAAATCTTCGTGTACATGTGGACAAATTTTTACCAAATTTGTCTTAAAATGAAACAGAGCAAAAACAAGCTCAAATGTGGACTAAAATACACATGCTAGTCAACAATAATGTTGGAAAAAACACACTCTTGAAGAAAATCTAAAACCCCATTTTTTTAACACAGGGCAAGACTAAAATGTCATTATCATTTTGTAAAAGTGTCTTTGAACACGAAAAGAAAGAAGCATTTAATAACAAGCACGCTTAACATGTAGAAAAGAGACCCATCATTTTTGGATATGAATGTGGCATCAATTTGACGAGAAGTAAAGAATGTGGATATGGCATCCATGAACTTCCTTTTCTCTGGATTATGGTGGGTTGAGAATTTCGAAACTAAAGAATAGCTTTGGAGAGCATAATTATTACAATTTACTTTTAACTTTTAAAGCCATATATTCTTTTCAAATTAAAACATGTGTTATTTGTTCTCAGAATTTCTTAATATAAACCAATTTTGTCAAATCTATCACTTTCAGTTGTGTCTTTCACATGTATATGGTGATAAATTACATCCTTGATAATATTGGTGACAAATTTGTCAATTGTTGTCATCTAACATCTCCTTTTCATTTTCCCAACAATATGATTTTGAAGTTAGTTTATTTAATCAAATTACATTTTTTTCAGTAAAAAAATCACATTTCAAGCAACATTAGAAGAGCAACAAGAACCATTTATTGGTTTCAAAACTAGTAGATCACCATATTTGAGAATGTGTTGTATAGTAAAGCCAAATTTCCAAATTCAATAATATAAACAAAAGAAAATAAATTTTCTTTTTCAAAATTTCCCTTCCTTCTTATCATTTCATTATAGGTTAAAAGAAAAAGAAAAGAAAAGGAAAGTTAAAGTGTGACTTTTTAAAGGGTCATGTAGGATAAAATTTTCATCCTTTTGTGTTTTGACCTTCGATTGTGTACTTAAAATTTTATAAGTGCATCTTTAATGAAAAATACTTAAATTAATATAAATAATTATTTATTTTAAGTCTAAGATAAATTGTAGAGAATTTGTTATATAAATAACTTTATTCAATTTAAAAAAAATGTTATATTTTTATTGATGAGAAGCAACTCTTCATTATATATACTTTAATTGTAATCAACCTTCTTCTCTACTTTTTTTCATAACTTTTATATATAAAAAAATATGATACTAAGTTATATTTTTTAAACACTACTTTATAATTAAACAATTAATATCAAAACATACTGATGATAGACCTACCATGCACAGGAATAAAATTAATAATGAACCTTTTTTTCCTTTAAGAAGAGATTCTCCATTGGAAATTTTAAAACACTAGTTTATAGATTTTGAATAAAATAAAATAAAATAAATGTCAGAGGAGAGGATCTTAACCCTTTTTCTGTATTCCTGAGTCAGATTCATAATGTATAATCTTTGTCATAACTTTTTGTTCAATAATTGCTTGTCTCAAAATGCAAGCCATTAAACTTTTGAGATTGGAAAGAAATAGATCAACACATCCATCACTATTATTATAGGTGACTAAAAACATAATAAACAAAAAAAAAAACAAAAAAAATAATAAAATAATAAACTAATGTGTGATGTGTTAGAGTGAGATTTTATCCTACTGTTATTCTATATAGTCAACTAATGTGCAATGTTTATTGATAGTGAAATATGTAAAGTTTATCAAATGAAAGTTGTAACTCGTCATTGGCAACATATTTTATTCTATTATTATAAAATTTTGTGGGTTGCACGATGGTAAAATTTTCATTCCAATTCACAAGCAATTACACAAACGAAAGGACAAAAGGAAATCCAAAAGTGACAATGACCATAAATATTTCCTCCATTGTATGTGAATCTATTTGCCTTTTGAAATTGTGGTAGTGGACATTAACTGTACGTGATATTACATTCAAAGATTGAGACAAAATAAAAAGGCCCCTTTTAATTTTGTAATGTTTATAAATAAAAAATAATGATTATTATATTAATACGGATTATTATTATTATTATTATTGTCAAACTAATGCATAATATTATCGAAAACTTTGAGTGCATATTAGGTTGCTAATTTTGTTCTAATATGATTCATTTCGTATATTCAACCACTTGTGTCCATTAATAATGGTATATAAAAATGATCATAATAGATGAATTCATGTATATGATTCTGTAAAATAGACCCATGCGAAATAAAAGTAATGAAAAAAATTATGAAAAATTGCAAAGGCTTATTAAATTGTTTCTTACATTTTGCGAATTAATATGAAAATATGGTAAATTTCAAAGATTAATTAGTCATTATTCCACGAAAAAAGTTGTCTCTTTTAAAAGAAAAAATGGATGGAACCAGTTTGATTACTGAAGAAATACTTGCCCTGAGTCTTCTATTATTTATTTATAGTTAGAAAAGGAAAATGATAACACATCTTTTTTTTATGTTTTTTTTCTTTCCATGTCGTCATGTTACAAACCAAATTACACTCTGAAACATTTTTTGTACCAAGTAATATTAGCTAGGTATCAAAGTATAATTGTAAACAAACAAAAAATTATGATTTCTAATACATCATTATATAGTTTGATGAATCTGAAATATTATTTGTTTTTGTACATCATTGATAAGCTGTCGTTTTGATATTTTTTACACTAGAGTTTATAATTACGCAAATGGAAAAAAAAATAAAAAAATGCTTTGTGCTATAATTTTACAAAACGAAAAAGCAAGATTCAGTTTTAAAATTCTACTGTCGGTTTTTCTTAGCACATTTGATTTTATTACCTAGACAATATGAACATGAAATCACCACAGTTTCATTATACGCAACCGTGCAATGAAGATAGTAAAGTGGTTACTTCTTGTGGTCCACACAAAACACAATAATTTCCGACAAGAGATGTTACAAATATATTGGATAACAAGGGTGGTGAAAAGCATTCTTCACCTAAAGAGATGTCCATTTCCTTATAATAATTTTTTGGTTTCTTAACTATATTGTTTTCTTTTGGAACTTTGGATAGTGATGCTTCATCAACCCCTAAATCACACCTCCAATAAAGATTTTGCTCAAAAATGAAAACAAAAAATCTAAACTTTGAAATTTTGTCCAATACTCTATTATAATTATAAAAGTAAACAAAAAAAAAATAATCATTTTTTTAAAGGTTGAAATATATAATTTATACGATAGTTCTGGTGAATTTCAAGTTTTGATTTATATTAATCAAAGTTTTCTATCTGTCTGTTTTCCATGTATTTTGAATCTCTGTAAATATGACTAAACTTGAGTTTTGTCTCTTAACTTAATGATACTAGCATATCATGCATTTTAGTCTTAGTCAGAAAGAACCATTTAAAAACATATTTTTATTTTAATATGATTATAGTAATTTTTGAAAATCTACATGATTTATTTATAGTGATGTTGGAAAGTTTGTCATTGATAAATTTTTAGTTTAACTTCTCCACTTTATGATATTGGGTATCTGTTGTATTATATACCAATAAGCATTCTTATGCATATTTTTTCAAAAAAAAAAAAAAACCTTTAATCCTTAATTTTATTTAAACGAAGCCAAATTCATAATTTATAATGTACTAATTATTTCCGGTCAAATCCACATAAATTGCCCTTACAGATTTTTAAACACGTAAAAAAGTGAGGATTTATAGTTAGGGGTTTCAACCTATGTCTCAACGCGTGTGCCAATCCAATTTCTTATAGGATCGAATCGGGTTGGGTTGAAAATTTTTTAAAATTTTTAGTAATGAATTAAAGTGAGCTCAACTCAATAGATTAAATAAGTTCGACTCGGGTTGATATTGAATTAATCTGTTTTTCTCAATTTTTAATATTCTAGTATTAGGATAAATCCATGAAAAAAAATAATATTTTAATGAGTTTAACCTACTTATATTAGGAGGTCAACTCACCCAATCTACTTATTTTAATAATTTAAAAAATAATAAATAATTAAATAAATACTTAGGTGAATCAATCCACCTGATACATCACCAGATTGTAAACTTTTTGACTCAGTAAAAAATAAGTTGAATTAAACTATTCTATTTTCAACTTAACTAACTCGTGAGAGCTTAAATGACTCACTTTGACACCCTATTTAGAGTCGGCTTATCATTTTGTAATCTCCTTTCCGAACTATCAATAACCTAGTATTCTCTATTCTTCGATGAAAAATACACCATCCATGTAAGACTGATGAGGGACTCTCGCTAGAGTGAATCAACCACCCAGTAGAGTGTGATCGAAGTGCGTGCCCTATGTTTAGCAAAGCTTCTAAGGGTGTGATCTTATGTTATATAGGTGATGCTTGGTGATGAAAATTGAGAAATTTAATTGGAACAGCTAAAAAATGATCTTTATTATACTGGTTTAAAAGAAATATCACCACAAAATTATCTTTATTGTGATAAAATTCTTGGCATTCTGTAAATTGAGAAAAACACAGTAATTAAAATTTTAATAATAATAATAATAATAATAATAATAATAATAATTACTATAATATCACATGAGCGAAAAGGAGATCAGTGAAAATAATGAATTATTTTCAATTTGATGGAATCTAAGCCACAATTCTATTATAAAATGCCACTATGTATGAAGCAAAAGAGAAACAATGATGAAAAATTGAACTGCACAACACAAAACTGTACGAGTTATCTCACTTCCATCTGAGAGACTGCCTAATGCCTGTATAAATGAGTCCTAAAGACCTCCCAATCAAGCTAACTAAAAAGAATGAGATAGCATCACTCACTTTATCAATAACTGCTCTAATTATGGGCATGGTGATGTCAGACAACTCCAGGAAAAGGCTGAAGTAATATCGCCTGCAATACATAAATCAACACCAATTACAAAATTCCTCCAAAATGAGTTTGTTTATAGGTGAGAGAAACGGTGCGAGAGTGTACCTTTATTTCATTGAAAGTATCATGATCTTAACCCGCTAAAATTTAAGACTAGATAATTGCTCAAATTAAAAGACCCTGGTTTAATTATAACAGGAGATGGGTTTATAGGCTTGTCCAATCCATTTTGGTCCGCATTTAAATGAACTAGACTGGGTTATCCTGCTTACCAAATGGACCATGTTTTGCATGGATTGCATCCAACACAAACTTGATCCACAGACTAATAGAAGGTCCACGAGCCAAAAAAAAAATTTTTTTTTTTGAAAAATTGTCACAAAAAAATAATTAGAAGCAAATGAAGGAATATTTAAAAAAAAACTATAAAAACTGAAAAATTCTGAAATACATTTAGCAAAAAAAATACTAACAAAAGATGGATTAATGAAATAGTACAAGACAAAATACTCCATAAACTCAAAGTAATGATTTTAACAGTGTCAAACAATTTTTATTATAAGCTGTATTTAAGTAATCCAAACACTATTCTATCTACAGACTATGCTCATCTTAGTTTCTACCAATCTTCATCAAATTTGGACCCTTCCAACTGCAAATATGGGTTGACTGGAGTGATCTAATGAGGAGTTGATCTAGTGACCTGTCGGTTAATTCCAAGACAAAGAGCTCTTCCCCAAGAACAGTGAAAACCGCTTAAAGCCAGTCCAAAATCGTTGCAGAATAACAGATTAATCCGGCAATTTAAAAAAAATAAAACCATAAATATTTTTAATTTAATGTAAATACTAAGACAAATAGAATACATTTAAAAATAACACATTGAAAATTACTTTACCAGTTATTACTTATTAATATTATAAAACATATAATTTAGTTATTTATAGTAATTTACAATTTTTTGTATCTTCATTTCCGACAATTTTATATTTCTTTATTACTTAAAATATTATATACAATAGAATATACTAATGTAATCACTACTAGTTCAACCACCAGTGAACCATTAAACCATTAACCAATGCTTGTACTCTTTCAACTACTCATTTGGGTAAAAAAACATTCCTTCCAGCTGACACGTGCTAAAATATGTCCTTTGCTAAGCATTTAGAAGTCTAATTTGGACCCAACAGTATCCAGTAGGGACCCCTATTTGCCAAGTAAAACCCAACATATAATATTTAGCAAAGCATGTACCAAACAATCTAATTTAGATAACAATTGGCAATAGGGACTACATTATGCACAAAAGAAAAAAATGTGGAACTCAATTAAAAAAACTGTCACAAGAAGTGACTAAATAAGCATAACGATAAATGGAGTGACAAGATTTAATAAAGAATCAACAGAGCGGGTGAAGAGAAAACATACCATCCTGTCAGGGCTCTTAATTCTTTGGTCCGCTTTACAGGCATTGAGAAACGGCTAATCTCAATGCAACGTAATTCAGGTGACGTTGTTTTTGAATTTTGCTGGGTAAGCCTCATCCACCAGTTTTGCTCTTCGCTCTGAATATTATCAGTTAGATCAATGGGTTTGCTCTCAAGAATACATAGGTCAAAGCGATCCTCGTACATTGACACAACTGTGTCCATGTTGTGGCACAACCACTGATTCAAAGCCACCTGATAAGAAGAATATCACGGAAAGTGTTGGTGAAATTTCAGACAAAATCTAAAATAAATAATAAACGTAAGCCAGAAAAAGGTAAATCTCACAATCCATTTGACTCTCCACTTTATTGGAGTGCCAAAAAAGTGTTTGGTAAAAAAATGAAACACCAAAAATCTACTTAACAAATATCATTTGTTCAGACATTAATTTTTAAAAATTATGCACAAAATATATATTTTGTCTATAAGAATTATTTTAATACAATTTGTCATTATCTACATATGTATCTCACACACAACGAATAGCATGTAAGTATATTTCAGACTACAGAATTCGTGATTTGAAAGATATACATTTTGGATAGTAAAATAATTTGTCTTGTGAAGTTAACCATATGACTGAATGAGCAATATAAATTGTCCATATTACCTGTTCTCTCCCCATACTACTATATATCAGATAAGCATAAGTTATGGGAATATAAAAAATAGAACAGGGACAACTCCAGTTCAGTTGATTTTATGAAAAGTTTTTGTTATAGCCCCAAACCACATTCTACAACAGAAATCGAAGGCTTAATTTTAAGTGAAGAATTACTTTTTACAGAGGAATAGAGGAACCAAAGTAGAAACTTCTCACAGGAAAGAATACACATTCAGTTGTTACAACTTACTGTGGACAGCCAATGACCAATATGGGCAAAAAACAGAAACAAGATCCACGGGCTTGAAATTTGAAAACTACATTACTAAAGCACCTCGTTACGTAGCTTTTGGAGTTCTCTGGTGGATAAAGCACATAATGACATATCCAAGCTACTGGTTTTACTTGAGACATCACTATCAACCGAATTGAACTCCAGATATATGCTTGCAACCCCATCTGCTAGAGCTATCACTAAATCTTCTAAAATGGATATCCCATGCACAGCAAATATACACGCATCATAATAGCAATCCTCCCTGATAATAGGTGGATGACTGGTGGTGAGTCTCTTAAATCAAAGGAGTAAGCATTTAAATTGGTCCTCCAAAGTTACACATTACACAGTTAGTCCACCAAAGATTTTTACTCCAAACTAGTCCCTCCCTAAAGTTACAAAATAGTCACCATACGTGTCCTTTTGTGTCACCATTTTAGTCCACTTAAAGACAAATTTGGATGTTTTAAATTTGAAGGACTAGCTCTGATTATAAATTTTTGAAAGACTTACAAGCTGACGCACATATAACTTAAGAGGACCACTTGAGGGTTCGCTCTACAACAATTTAATTTAAATGTACAGTGGATTAAAAGAATAAATGACAATGTCATGGACACAAAATATGCCAATGTGGACGGACAATAATCATATATCCGAAACAGATTTTCCTGAGTCAACATGGCCTGATTTGTAGATCCTGCTTTTAGAAATCAGAATGCAGACGAAATAGATAAACAATGAATAAAAAATAGATAAATAATGTTGATTTTACCTGAGAGAACCAAAAGTAAGGTACCAAAGTAGTTCTGAATACAGATCTTTCTTGCCAGACCTGGTAATGCTCTGTACAACAGTTCTATCTCCTTTCACTTTTTCAAGTATCATAGATGCAAGTTCCTAACAATAATGTCAAAGAATCACTGTTTGTTTGATAGAAGAAAATAGGAAGGATAGAGGCTTTTTGTCTGAGAACCCAAAAAATTACCCCCCAAGTTGAAGAGTAAGTGGGGACTAGAGCCCCTAGCATTCACTTTTTTTCTTTTTTATTATTTAAAACTTTAGTCATTTTTATTAATTTGTGTTAGGGAAAGAAATAATAGAGTTAAAAGTATTATGGGTTAAATTTATTATTTATTATGTATAAAAATATTATAGAATTTATTTATTTTTTTCTTTCCACTTTCTTCCACTTATCCAAACAAGAGAAATTTCTCCACTTCTTTCTTTTGATTTTCTGGCCATCCAAACCAAACGTTTTCTATTCGATTTTCTTTATTTTTGTCCCTCTGATTCTCTCCTCCTTATTTTACTCCTCATCCAAACAAATTATAAAAGTAGAAGCTCCTCCAGTTAGTTTCAATTGAAGCTGTACCTTGGGCTTCTGTTCATTAAGGGTAAAAAAACTACTCTTGTTTTTAAGAAATTATCTAGAATTGTAATTGACCTACCTTCTCCTTTCAAGGAAAATAGAAGCCTAAAAACGGTTGGGTCAAACACTACCTAAATGAAAAAAATTGTTCCATCATCGCTTCAAATCTTATGCCCTCTTCAGATATCTTTTCTTACATGGAATTCAGCTCCCGTAAGTGTCCCTCAGAGAGCAATGTATGGAGTTAGAGTCGTTGATAGGAAAGTCAATGCAATATTTAACTTGATGAATTGCTATATACATGTGCATGCATAATATCGTAATTCAATTGTTAATTTTCAAACCAATGATTATAATTCTATACTGTTTCTCCATCTTATTTAAATTCCTGAACTTGGAAGAGCCAAATTGGCCTATATGATATATATTTTATGGAATTTTGTTCAAAACCTGAAACTATAATTTTGTTGAAATAACATTTATCTTGTAACTTGATCATTTCTTCGTGTTGTTTTATATTTCTATATAATATATCCTCCCACCCACACCCTTATTCTAGTTTTAGAGATTTAGTTGTAACCATATCCATGCAAAGACTTCGTTCAAATGCAGTAGCAGTAAGGCCAAAAATTGAGTATTGAGTGATAATATTACACCTTCAATAAATACCTTGTCAGCATTTCCCTTTAGAAGGAAAAATTCCTTTTCCAACCACGCAGCACAGATAGAGTGACAGGATCTCTGAATTATTTCAGAAAACCTTCCAAACAAATCATCCATACCAACAGCTCTGGAAATGCTTATGATATTGTTGACCTGGAAAACATTTGAAACAATTGATAATCCCAATAAAATAATTGAAAAATAGCATACACTTAATAATTTAGGCATGCATTTTATTTAGTTCATAAAATTAATATATGGAGAAAAATAAGCAATAAACTTCATACAGAATCAAACTTTGGGAGTATCTGTTTTAATTTCGAGATAATATATTGTAGTCAAGTTTTGTAGGTAAGTTAAAATATGCCAATTCATTTATGCATTAGAATGAAGCAGATATACTAAATGAGTTGTTTGGATATTAGTAAAAGTAGTTATATAGCATTTATTAAGATTTCATTCAAATAAATATGTATAGAAGAAAGATGTTTCTCACTTCATTAATCTTAGTCAGACTTTTGCACACTTGCTCAATAAAAAGGTAGCCGAGACATACTTAGAACACACATTTCAAACATTTATTAGAACAGATTAAATGGCCATTCCAGTTTGTCAAAATTCAAGATTATACCAAAATAACATAATATATGCATGCATATGACAGTACTGAAGAAAATAAAGACAATTCCTGCCTCTTTTTCAACTTGATGAAAAGCAGTCCAAAGCAACCTTAACTTTGGACCCCTTGCAACAGCACTTAAACTCAAGGGTTTCTTGGCAGATTGAAGGATGATGTCTCCAGAATAAGCCTCATCATCTAGAGCATTTAAAGAACTCCAAATTTTTCCTCTCACCACATTTAATACATACTTTGACTCAACTCCATAATTTTGATTTGCTGAACTGCAAGAGACAAGTTCTCATGAACTTAGAAAAATTCACTATAGTTTTTCTCAAAATCCTAGACAAAATATTAATCAATTTAAACTGATAAAAACAATTCATCCTTGATATCTTGGTGTGCTTACCCTTACCTACCAGAAATGTCTGGGCTTTCAGGAAACACATTTTTATCAGAATTATTCTTTTGATAACTAGCATGAGATTTCTCAACAGGAATTACTCCAGCCATATAAGTAAGAAATATACTGCTCATCAGAAGTATCTGATCAACAACTGGAACCAAATCAGAGGTTCTTGCACCATCAAAGTCAACCAAAGCCCCTAAACCAATGCACTTTAATGGAAGCTCCTGAAGACGTGGAATCAATTTAAAATCCGTAGCCGCAAATACACTTCTGGAATACTTTCTGAAGAAGAGAAATATTGAAAGGTCAGACTGCCAAATTGATAATAGCAGGCATAAGCAACAATGATCACTGTTTATAGCATTATTGGGAAACTGATACTTCCAAACAATCAACATTACACAGAATTGAAACAGGTAGAATTAGCAGAACCATTAATATGGTATGTATTTAGAATCTACTAAAGGCAAAAAACAATTCAAACTATAGGAATTCACTACGATTTTCTATCCATACTAATAAAGAAGGGGAATTCGAACTTTAGGAATTCACTTTTAAATATCTAAAATGTGCTAGTCAAGAATTACCACAAGCTAATTCTCATTAATGTGCCTCCTTCGAATGCTGGAGGGAGGAATTAGAAGATTCAAAGCTAAATCACACGTGTAAGGAGAAAAAAAAAGCAAGAAAAATCGAAAAAAAAAAATTTAAAAAGAATGACACCTCTGAACAGTCTTGAGATTTGTAATCTGACCGGAGAAGCCTCTCCCACTAACAGGCCTTCTCTGTGTATTCAGCTTAACACAAAATGCGGAAGCCACACATTCTGCCATTGATAGAAACGTTATTGCTCCACACTCAACACATTGCAATGCCCCTATACGCGTATTTAATCAACCTGAAACCCAAAAAACAATCAGAAACAGCGAACATAAAAATGTATGAAAATAAAAATAGCCAAAATTAGAATCGAAACAACCATAAACTCAAGAACAGTTCAATATTCAAATCGTAAAATGATGAATTACCCTTAATACGCACACTAATGAGTTTAACAGCAAGAAGAAAAACAAAAGGAAACATTCGCATTCTTAATGTGAAAAAATTGTAACAACTTCGCAAGCCTCTAAAATCCTATTAATAAAGTATCGTAACTAAAATGGACAAAAACAAAACACTTATTAAAACAGTGGCGGTGAAACAAAATTGAGGTTCCTAGCAATCATAGCAGGAAAATAGAAGGCAAATTTGAAAGGGGGTGAAAGAATGTGAGTGAGAGAGCAAAGACTGAAGGGAACGAAGGACACGAGGTTTGGAAATTGATGAGAAGAGGATTGGATTTGTGCGAACCTGATTCGTTTCTTCTTGGTGACTGTTTTCAGAGCACAGTGAAATGGTTGGTCACTAACGACCAGACTAGGGCTTTAAACCTTCGAAAACGTGGGATGCTGATTTGTTTTCATGGTTGTAAGAACCGCACCGGGTAAGGATTTTGATTTGATCCTATGCGGTTACAAGTGGGACTCCACGTCACACACAATTGGACTAATTTTCCTTTTCCAATAAACCCGATTTCAAACCATTTCGCCAACTAAGTTCATGGTCAAATTGTTTACCAACTCGATTTTTTTTTTTTTGTATGCAGTTGAAAATTTAGTAGTTGAATTTTTGCATCATCTGAATTTTTATTTAAGATTATTGAAAAATATAAGTTAGTATTTTTTATTTATTAAAAAATTGAACTATTATATAATAATTAATTATAAACTATTATTAATAGTGTTAATTACTCTTAAAATTGATTATTACTGATATTAAATTATATATTAATGCAAATACAATTTTAATTTACTAATATTATTATTTAATGTCAATATCAAATATTAATTTTGTAATATCATATTTATGAAAATTAACTATATGATTCTTGATCTAAAGTTACTATTTTAATAGTTAATTGTATTTTTAATGACAACATTTAAAGTTTTTCTTATGTAAAGTTATACTAAATTAACTGATTAAAAGGGTCTGTGTTGAATTAATTTTTCTGGTTGGTATAATTAATTTTTTTACATTAATATTATAGTGTTTATATCATTAAATTCAATTGTATCATGTTATATTATATATAAAACAAAAAACAAAAAATTGATGACGAGTTGGTCAAGTAAATTATTTATGGCAATTTTTTTGTCCAACCTTAATTGTTCTATGTGGTCTTAAATGGTATCTTGTACGGGCCGATAACCTACGTGTATAAGCTTAAAAAAGTGATTCAAAACTCTCTCTCTCTCTCTCTCTATCTATCTATCTATCTATATATATATATATATATATATATATATATATATATATATATATATATATATATATATATATATATATATATATATAAAATTTAGTACTTATTTAAGGATTTAAAATTAATATATAAGGATTATTTATTGTGACATTTATTTATGTTATAACCAAGTATATGTCAATAGCAACAATTTATTTACAATCCTTTTCTTAAATATTTATGTTTTTTGTATTTGACTTGATTTTGGGTTGCTTATTAAATTTATTTGTTTTATAAAAATATAATTTGTATTCCATATACGGCGAAAAATAGTTCTACGTTTTAATCCTTCAAATAATTTATCATAAATTTTTAAAAATATTTCGTTGTAAATCTTAATATAAAATACTATTTTGTCATAACAGGCAATGTGTATAATAATATGATATGACCCTCACGACTTTATCTAATTTTGATAAAATTAAATTACGAAAGTTTCAAAAATAAAAATTCATTTCTCCCGAACTTGAACATTTTTATCCACGGTATAAGGATAAAGACAAAGGTATTCATCATACATTTTCCAAACTTGATCTGTTGTTATGTCTATCTTATATATAAATACTTATGTATATATAGTTTTTAGATTTTTAAAATAAATAATAAACAATCCCATAGTAAATGAATAAAAATTTTGGTATACTTATTAATATTTATTAAAACTATATTAACATTTAATATAATAAAATATAATTCTTTATTACTTGTCTATTTTTTATATGATATATACTTTTAAAAATTACGTATTCAAAATAAATTCTCTGTACCTGGCTGAGTTAGAGTATAAAAAATCATGATCTGAACTCATTAGGAATTCCCTTAGTTTATTTATTTTTAATCCTGATAGGTTTTTAAATATGTAATTTTAGTCCCAAAAAAAAAAATACTGATTAACCTTACTTAAATCACCTTCTTCGAAATCAATAATAATTTAACCAGACCAATCTTATCAATTTATAACATAAATGACGTTGATAATCTCATAATTCATACAAATTTATTGATCATTTTTACATCAATATTATAGTTTTACCAAAATTACTTAAAAAAATTATATAGCACTAAACTTATATAGGACCAAAATTACATGCATGCTAACAAATTAATAAAAGCTAAAATGGATTTAAAGTATTTATTTAAGTGGAGAAGAGAAGGTGCGGAGGAAACTCCGATTACGTGTTTACGATATAATAATATTCACATTTCAATTCATTGTTCGAGAACGGAAGGAAAGAGTCTTGATTACGCCTCCTCTCTCTCTCTCTCTGACGTTGTCCCTTCCTCGTTTTCCAAATTTTGAAAAACCACACACGCTTTTGCTCCCTCGCCTTAAAACCCTTGTTCAACAATCCACCAATATTCAACTCCTTCAAATTCCACAAACTAAACCATATATTTCTTTCTCCCTGTTTTCTGAGCTGTTCGTTTGTTTCCTTTGTTGATCTCAACATGGTGCAGCAATCGCTGATATACAGCTTCGTCGCGCGGGGCACGGTGATCCTGGCGGAGCACACCGACTTCGGTGGAAACTTCACGGAGGTAGCTTTGGAGTGCCTTCGGAGGCTCCCAGCTTCCAACACCAAGTTCACCTATAACGCCGATGGCCACACCTTCAACTACCTCACCAATAATGGATTCAGTAATCTCTCTATTCTTTAGTTTTCTTCTCCCTCCATAATTTTTTTTTTTTTTTTTTTGCGTTCCCCTCAGATGATCATATTTTTGCAACACCAAGGTCTCTTTTTATTTACTATTCACAATTTAAAAAACTTATTATATTATTTTATACAGATTGTTTGTTTTTACACAAATATTCTTATAAGTAGTTTATATTCAAACGATTCTTATAATATATATTTTTGTTTTAATTTATTGCATTTGTTTCATGTCAACACTTTGGATGAATAATTTTTTATTTTTAAAATTTAATTAAAATATATTAAATAAATGATGGGTTTAATTTTCATTTTGAATGTAAATTTTATATTAATAATTAAGTGTAAATCACCTATAATTTAAAAATAGTTAATTATATAGAATTTACATTCCTACAAGACATTGACAACATATTTTTTTTTATATATTAACTGTTTATTATTATTATTATTATTATAAAAAATTGGAGAGCGTAACCGCGGTTGTGTTTCGATACATTATATTTATAATCATTTGCATTCAAAATTTATGTTTTATATTTGGAGATTAACTTTCATGCTCTATCATCCTCTTAAAAAAAAATCGTGTACTATAATATAAAAATAATTAATAGTGTTATAACAATCACAATTATTTTTATATATGAAATTTAATATAATTCTTTGTGGTGGAAATTGGAAACGGTCTTAAGGAACATTCTAATTTCCAGTTTAATATTAGTTGACTCGTCTTCATTTGGATTGTACCATATGGACTTTTTTAAAATTTTATTTACAAGTCTTGTATTTTTGTTTTTCTGAATTTTTGTTAATCCACGTGTTATCGATCGGGGTTTTTATTACTACAATGAAAAATAAAATTAATAATTTTTTTTTCAAACTTCATAATGAGAAATCATGTTTGATTCGTTGTCACAGCTATAGAGCTAATCTCTGATTCAGTGAACTTTAGAAAAATGAGTAACAAAACCCAGAAGAAAAAGTAAAGTTAATTCAATATAATGTATTTTTCAGTTAAAAATTAAATGCACTATAAGGACATTCAAACTAACTTAACCTTTCTTTATTACCAAATTTTCCATCACCAGTCCCCACCCCAGTAGTGTTAGGTTTCTGTTTGAAAAACCTAGTCCAAACCTTCTTGAATTTGAATTGATGTTATACTATTTTAAATTATATTGAAATATCATCTAATATAGTTTTAGATAAATGTTTAAGTTCATGTTAAAGAATTGATTTTTATGTCTGACATTATATTTTGAATTGAAATAATTTTAACTAGCTTTTATAATGAACGAATAATTTTATACTAAATTCCATCATTAACTATTTTTAGAATAATATTATTCAAATTTAAATACTTCACTTTTTCATTATCGATTTTAATCAAAATCAGATTTTAATTTTGTTGGAAACGAAAGTCTGCATCGGTTGCAAGTTGAAATTCTTTAATATCTAAGATAGATGCCAATATAAATATTACGTATAAAATGATGATATACATGTTAACCAAAAGCAATGACGATGCGATACGAAAATACGACAAGCATGGCTGAACAACTAAGATAATAAGTACGACATCATATTAAGAATAAGATAAACAAGAACGTTATCGTGTATACTTTGTGTTGTTGTCAGTTTAAGAATATCGCACAAAATTTGATTTCTGTCAAACTTTTTTTTGTATATTTCGAATTAATATTTGTGAGAGAGAAATGGTCTTAAGCTATGTTTCCTGTTCTTGCTTTTAGTGTTTATGTTGTCAGTGTTGAATAACAAGTTGTGAAGAAAAATATAACTATATATATATAAACGTTATAGTAAAATTTAAATGAAAGTGTTGAAAGCAAAGTTTTGATAATAAACCTGTCTATCCAAATAAAAATATATGAAGGGATACGAACATGCATGCTGAAAGTTCTTTATTTTAGTAGAATATGGTTAACCTCTACTGAAATTTTTGTTTCCAAATTGTATGTGTTTCCTTCTATATGAATTATACCACAAATAGTTGCACTCACATGATCTATTATTTTCAGCTTTCTGTGTTGTAGCGGTGGAATCCGTTGGTCGCCAACTTGCAATGGCATTTCTTGAACGCATCAACGAGGACTTTACCAAGAGATATGGTGGAGGAAAAGCTACCACGGCCACTCCTAAAAGCTTAACCAAAGAATTCGGGTACTTATTATGTTATATAAAGCAAATGGGGCCTCTATGTGTTTGATGAATTGTACTAATAAATGAAGTCTTTGTTCTGTGTGGTTTAGACCTAAGTTGAAGGAACATATGCAGTATTGTGTGGAACACCCAGAAGAGGTTAGCAAACTTGCGAAAGTGAAAGCTCAAGTTTCTGAAGTCCAACAAGTTATGAGGGCAAACATTGATCAGGTACATATTGTATTATAAGTAATTGGAAGTTATATATTTCACATGATCTGTTCCCAATCATTGTACTATGTCGTAGGTTCTTGATCGTCAAGTAAAGATTGATGTTTTACTGAGTCAAACTGAGGATCTTCGCGATCAGGTACTTTTAAATGTTCACACAAACTAAAAAAGTATGTATCTGGTTTCATGTTATCTCATCTTTAAGTTGAACATGTTTGGTTGAATGATGCCATGAGCTGTCAAAAACATGAAAGAACTATAAATAGAATACCTACTAGCTGACACGCAAATTTCGGTTCATTAAATAAGGTTCTGTTGGCCTAATGTATCCAAACTGAATAACTGTATAGCATGGTCACTTTGTGATGAAAGTTTCACAAAATTACAAAACTATAGATGACTACATGTTCTTTCAATAGATTCTTTGTATGCTACATTTAAGTTGTAGCCAAAATGTACTGTCACATTACAGCTTGGTCACTTTGTCATGAGAGTTTCGCAAAATCACAAATCTATCATAGATGACTACATGTTCTTTCAATAGATTCTTTGTATGACTACATGTTCTTTTTCACTTATTTCTCATCTATTGAATTAACCAGTTCGTTGATTTGCTACATGCCATATATCATGGATCAAAACTTGCATTAGTTTTCTTCACTACAGAAAAACATTTGTGGAGTGTAATTGGTATGTGATTTGTATGGCTTTGCAGAGTGCAGTTTTTAGGGGGCAGGCAGACCAGATAAGGAGAAAAATGTGGTATCAGAACATGAAGACAAAGCTTATAGTACTTGCCATCTTAATTGCCATCATTCTCATAATTGTTCTTTCTGTGTGTGGTGGGTTCAATTGTGGTAAATGAGACTTACCACTCACCTAGAATTGTTACAACTCTGCCACTTTTTGTAATTTAATATTTGCATGATATAAACAATATATAAAATTTGTTTATTTGATTGACACAATAAGGTTTGGTGTAGGGAAAAATAATAATGGGCAACATGCCATAGCAGGTTGGGACATTAGTAAATTTCCCCATTGCTTTTCCAGCCAAAGCACATATTTGAGTGCATATTCATGAATTTAAGTGTGATAAATAACTATTTTAGTAATTTATTCATCAGATAATTATTTTAGTAATTTGTTGATCAATAACATCATTTTTTTCTCCTAAAAGTGCTAAAAATACTTTTTTTTTTATGAAGTTTGTCAAAATGTAACCCAATATTTTAAACTCATTCGGTACATGAGTTTTCCAAAATTATAGTTGTTATATATATTTCTATTTAGTATTTGCATAAATAAGACGTATGGTCTAAAAATCTTTTAATTTTTGTTTTTTTCATTTTTTCTTCTTCCAAACATTCAGCTTTAATTCTTTTTTTCTTTCTTTTTTTTCCCTTTCTCTTTTACTTACATGGTACCAATCAAAGTGTAAGGTATTTTGGTGTGGAAGGTCATTCATCTAAAGCTCTTACGGTGATTTAGATTTAGGTATGCCGATCGATTAGGGATGGCAAAACGGGCTAGGCCCGGCGGGTTGGCCTGCCAGCTCGTCATAATATGGCGGGGTGGGTTGGTGTTTTTAGCCCACCAGATCCGTTTTGGCCCGTCCCGCCAAGCCCGCGACCGCCTAATTAATAAAAAAATATTTTTTTATTGTAATAAAATTATTTATAAAGATAATATATAAAGTTAAAAATTTTAAAAAGAGAATTAAAAAGTTTCATTCTCACATAAAATATTCTCCTTCCTAAAATATAATATTCTCTCCTGTTCTCCTTATTTATCCTAAGTACTCGATTATATTTATCCTTATTACTTGAATTAAAGGTATAAGAATTACTCAACCAAGTATAATACGAAGTTTTATCAAATAAAAAAGATATAGGTATTTGAATTTTTCAATATAAAAAATATAAATTTTATAAGTTTAACGTTATTTATATATATATATATATATATATATATATATATATATATTTGTTATTATTTATTATTATGTAAATTTTATTATTGTTTTAAATTATAATTTCTTAAAATAATATATTGATTTATATTATTAAATTGAAATAATATATATATATATTGAATTATTGACAAACAAATAATAATCTTATTATTAAATTTATTAAAAAAATTTTTTTTTTAATTATGATGGCCAGCTCACTAACCCGCCCTTGGCGGGCGTGCTAAGGTCTACGACCAGTCATGACTATATCGGGCCAGCTACCGCCGCTTTAGCGGGCTAAAGGCGGGCGGCTAAACGGCTGGCTGGCCCGTTTTGCCATCCTTACGATCGATCATTCTTCCCTTCCTCACCGATCAAATACAGTATTAATGAAGTTGCAAAAAGGTTTCCTAGTAAAGTAACCTGTGATGGTATTTTAGATATCAAAGAGTATCGATTATGAGTTAATGTTAATATCAGTTCTTTTAATGTTCTATTAGCAAAATATATGGGAATAAACATACGTTGAAAATTTATACATGAAAAAAAAAAAAACATATATTTGGTTTGAATGTGATTCAAAGATAATGGTTCAAATTTTTTCAAATAAAAAAGTTGTTACTTGAAAGAAAAAAAAATGATTCAATTCCATAAATTTATTAAAACATACGCAATTTTGCGTATAACATATTTTCATGAAAAACTTTGTGCAAACAGAATATTATCTTTTGGGTTAGACATTTAAGAGCTAATATTGGTGAGATAGTATTTCTAATCTATAAAGATAGTGAAATGAACAAATTTCGTATTTTTTTGGTATTAATTCGTCCATTAAAAAAAATTATACTAAGTCATTATTGGTATGAACTAAATATTTGATGAAATATGTATATTTAGTCAGAATCAAACAATAATTAAGTAATAGTCGCGCATTTAGTATCATTTGAAACATTTTTAAATGACATTATTCAATTTTTGAAAATAAAATAATGATCCTAAAAAATATAATATAAAGTTTATTTCAAAAATAAATTTAATTTAAAAAAATACAATAATTGATTTAAGAAAAAGAAAATAACAATTTATTTAAAATTAATTTATAAAACAAAATAATCGAAAACCCAAGAGAAACCCTACAAATTCAGGTGTAAACGTGACGTTCTTCTAGATAACAGCATTTCTTCCAGAAACCCTCCTCACGCATTTGAAAATGTATCGCAGCAAAGTTTGAAAAAGCATGAAACGGTAGGGCGCGGTGTGGCATATCCGTAATAATAAACAAACACGAGGGTATTTCAACAAGATATACCGCTTTTCTTCCATTTCACGTTTGCTTCACATCTAAGCCAACAAAACCAAACGCACTTCTTCTCTCTCTTTTCAAAGCTCTGTGTACAGCGGAAGAACGAAGCCTCCTCGTTCTTCTTCTGCGCTTTCTCTCTCTACATTAGTAACCGTTGTTTTGTTCTTTCTCTCTCCTCAACCTGCCACGTAACCGTCCTCGCGGAATCTCGCGGCGTTGTTTGCTCTACTGCGGTTGTGGTTCCGGCGATGGGACAGCAATCGTTGATCTACAGCTTCGTCGCTCGCGGCACCGTGATCCTTGCCGAGTACACTGAGTTCACCGGAAACTTCACTGGCGTGGCGGCGCAGTGCCTCCAGAAACTCCCTTCCTCCAACAATAAGTTCACCTACAACTGCGATGGCCACACCTTCAACTACCTCGTCGATAATGGATTCAGTAACTCCTCTCTCTCTCTCTCTCTTTATATATATATATATATATATATATATATATATATTTGATATATACCTGTTATCTAGTTTCGCTGATCTGCTTCCGTTTTCTGATTTTACTGTGTTTGTTCTTGGAACCGGATTCGGTGCGTTTAAGCGTCCGCGCTGTTGTGAACCAGCGCCGTTTGATCAAAATCAGACGGTTCAAATTTCGGATTGATGTTTAAAATATGATTCATCCGATCTTCATCGACTTTAGATGTGCGGTGCTCGTTACTTCTTGATCTGCGTGCTAGAAATGAAAAAGAAAAAAAACCCGGAAATACAGTTCGGTACACGGCGGGTGTTGCGTGATTTGATTAGGTTAACGCATGGGATCGAACTTTCTTGTTCGAATGTGAAAAACAAAAAGTGAAAGCGGAAATGGAAGCAGTGAAAGTAACTGAGAATTGGATCGTTTATATGTTATGTATATAGGCATATATGATAGTTTCTAGCGTTCTGTCTGTTGTAGCCGTTCTGTTGCTTACTAGCTTATGACAAAACAGCATTTATAGTTTTAGTAAAGTTATTTGTGAATAGAAAGGGACATAGGTAGAGGAATTTTTCCATTATTTTAGTAGCCATAGAAGAGGACGATAAAGGTTTTAAATTGCAGTTGATCCATCACAATTTTTTACTATGTGGAAAATTGTGGTTGATGTGGCCACAGTTGCTGTTGCAGTGCGATTCGACCGTTGTGGAGAGTCCAAAATCCTTGATGTTGCGAAATCACGGTCAGGGATCTTTCTTAAAACCTTTTCGATGATTGAGGAAAACTTAATAGTGTTGCAAGGGTTTCGAATAGAAATCATTTGGATATAGACTATATGGATGTATAAATGTTTATCCTTGCTTTTTTGCTAGTAGTTTTGTTAAAATATCCTTTTTTTATATATGAATACAATATATACACAAGTCAGGAGCAAGAGACTCATTGAGTTCTCTTAAATCTCAAGTAGCCTGACTGTGCTTTTGGAACTTTCTGCTTTCTGTTGGTGATACTTTGATTTGTTTTATTGACTGAAGTAATAATTACAGTTAGTTGGAACTAACTAATTGCCTGCTGAATATTGTAGCTTATTGTGTGGTTGCTGTTGAGTCTGCTGGACGGCAGATTCCAATTGCTTTCCTTGAACGAATCAAGGAGGATTTTACCAAAAAGTATGCCGGAGGAAAAGCAGCAACAGCGGCTGCACAGAGCCTCAACAGAGAGTTTGGGTATATACGTGTACTACAAATTTGTATTTATAATCTTTTACAATGACATCAATTATTGTGAAATATTTGTTGTACTATAGACCTAAGTTGAAGGAGCAGATGCAGTACTGTGTTGATCACCCGGAGGAAATTAGCAAGATTGCTAAAGTGAAAGCTCAGGTCTCAGAAGTCAAAGGAGTTATGATGGAGAATATCGAAAAGGTAAGGCAATTATCATCGCATCTCCCCTTTTGCCAGGAAACTATGCATATATTTTATCTTTTTTGCTATGGCTGGGTTGAAAGTGTTGCGAGGGTAAAAATTCTGCCAGTGATTTTAATGTGGTAGGCATATATGTAGTATGTGTCTGAATTTGAACTTCTACAATCTCGTAATTTTTTAACTAATAAATTGTTGTGACATTAATATCCTATTCTGCAGGTTCTTGACCGTGGGGAGAAAATTGAGCTTTTAGTGGATAAAACAGAGAATCTTCGTTCTCAGGTCATTTTGTTTGCCACTATTGCATATTAATCATATTTTATCGATTCTGTAAATGCAAAGTAATAGATTACTAGAGATTGAAGTGGGAGCCTTATGCGCAAGCTCACTGCATCTCTCTTTCAACCACCCTCTTTTTATTGGTGTTTTTGTTGCCAATAGTATAAAAATAATTATATATTAGACACAGGCAATTGCCGAACTGACTGGGGAATGCGAATTTTCTGTTTATATTCCAGTTTGAGGAAACATTAAAGAATGACAATCAAATAGATATGGTCTTCTTCGACAGATACAACAAACAACCCAAATGTTATTGATTTTGGTCACATTTACATTATTGTAGATATGGTCACATTCATGTTATGTTGCATTCCGCCTTTTTTAATTCTCTTCGAATATTGAATTTGTTTAATTTAATTTATGCTTGCAGAAAAATCTTGGTAGGTTTGGTACTGGGTTTTTTTATGTATTCTGAATATAAGTTTTATGTGCCTCATCAATTAAATTGATCTCGCAGGCTCAAGATTTCAGGCAGCAGGGAACCAAGATTAGGAGGAAGATGTGGTTCCAAAACATGAAGATAAAGCTAATCGTTCTGGCTATCATAATTGCCTTGATTCTCATTATTGTTCTTTCCGTTTGTGGTGGCTTCAGTTGTGGTAAATGAGTCTTCCCACGTCCTGGCTTCAACTGTGGTATTTGTCTCCTCGCTCGATAAGATTGTTCCTAGCAGATTGCCATTGTCGACATGGTTCTTTTGACTTACTTTTTGGGATTTACATTCTTCCAGATTCGATGATGATCAATATTACATGGCATTTCTTGTATAGTGTGTAACTGTAGTCTTTCTCATCTCGTCTCCCATAGCTTAATGCTAGTTTGTCTTTCTCTGTAGTTTAGGTGGGAGTTTTAATCATTTGGTTTTGAAGATTATGCTGTTTTATTTATGACACATTAAGAATTGAACCTTCACGTAGTTCAGCTTCTTATTACCATTTTTTTTTTTGTTAGACTAGCATAATCTGTGCATTCACATTTATCCAACTTAGCTGAGCCTAATGCGGTAATTCTAAACGCTGCTGTTTGGTTAAATCGTCTTGTTGAATTTTAATTCATTCATTAGGTTTGCTCAATTAAATGTTTGGTTGCCAATCAAAAACCAGCAAACGGGCGATAAACACGAATAATACAAATAGTGTGTTTGGGTAACGTTAACCAAATCCATTTTTAGCACAGGAACACGGTGAAAGAACGTTTGGTGCCCCTTGCAAACCAACACGCAAAATCTTGCTTCTCAGTTTCATGCATTCATATAGTAAACGCCTGTTTGCATTGCATACTGTTTTCCAATGAAATGAATATTCTTGTTGAATTTAGGCTAAGTTCTGACAATGATTTTCTCGTCATAGAACTACGATCCTTGGAATAGCGAACGCAAGTTTGAACAACAGACATTTCGAAGATAATACGCCAAAAACTGAACCGTCATGGGAATCTGATGTGTATATTTCCCCCTTGATGCATTGGAGCATGAGGCGGAAAATAATTCAAGAAGAGGAGCATTTAAGATTATCCACTTTCATTCTACTTAGACATTTCAAAATTTACTGAAGGGCGTGTTTGAATTTAGGTTGGAATGAGTCGAAAGAAAAAGTTTTACATTTTCCAATATATAAATGAAAGTAACGTGAAAGCGGATTAAGTTGAAAGTAGTCTTAATTTGACAAGTTCAATTCTAAATAAACACTGAAGTCTATCTTTCCAAATGACTAACAAAGTTATTTATTGATTTTTATTCAAATACTATTTCTAGACTCATAAAATTGTCTAGATTTTTATTAAGAATGCAGATTAAAAATTATACATAATTATTATTACCTGTTTTTGTCAGATATGGTATCTACATCTTCCACTTTTAGTGGCCATAGCAACTTCGATAATGGTCCTAGCTTGGTAGTGGCTACGCCACTTAGTATGAGCTCTTTCACATTCATATACTAATCTTTCCTGTGTATCCTAATGCATTTTCTTTTGACAGTTATAAACAAATTGGACAAAGATAGTTACAACTGAACAGATATAACCCACAGTGGGTATATACACTGGTGAAGCCATGTTAGAGCTACTTTGCTGATCAGCATATATCTTTCATGATTATCTTTCCATGCACCCCACTTTTGCGATAACTTGACACTTATACAAAAGAAAAACCCAGATTTAAGTTCTGTCTAATGCATTTTTTGGCCTGAAGTAGAAGTGGAAGAAGGAAAAGAAAAAAAAAATCAACCCCAAAGTTGACAAAACTGATCCATAAGGATAATTATCAGATTTCCATTCCAACATATGTGTTGGTACTTAACATAAATTACTAGTCTAATATGTAAAACAGATCACATGCCCTAAGGAAGCAGGCGCCTTGTGCTGGCTCCTTTTATCCTTGGCATAGTTTTGTTGGAACAGAACCATACCGATAAAATAAGTCTTGAAGAAACAATAGTTGAACTCTCAATCCCACCCTCTCACATTCATGGAGGTGTTATTCATCAATAGTCGAACTCTTGTATAAATAATGCATGCATGTGTTTCTGATTAAAAAGGAAACAACCCAGTTCATTGATTCCTAGAAGTGCAACTGATAGCAGCTCTCTTAGAATTTCAAGATGTGGAAAAATGCATCTACATGTAACCATATGCATGGTTGGCAGAAAATAAATCTGTCATGACCTATGTTAGAAATGCTAACCCATTTGGTCCGAACTACCAAGCGTGTGGTCCATGTCTGAGATGATAGCAAGTGACTAATCATCCATGGACAAGTTGATTTCCATGTTGTCTATAAGCCTGACTTTCCCAAACCATGCAGCGATACAGAAGACAACTGGACCCTTGATCTGTTCCACTGGCCGCAAATTATTTTGATCAACAATCTGCAGGAATAAGTATCTGGTTGCATTAAACAATACCTTCAATTATTCATAACTTCTAATTCTGTATTGTTTTGGCTTCAAAGATATGTTGGGTTTGGTAAGGCGTACATCACTGCCAAAGTAACTTCGACAATAATTCATCAATTGTACACTTTCAAATTTAAGCACAGGACAGAAAAATATTTAGCATCTTACCTCAGCATAATCAATCCTTCCTCCGGCATCAGTAATACACTGGATGACCAAATTCTTCAACTTGTCACAATGCACTTGGCCATCTTCTGCTGCTGATTTAGCTTTTAACAATGATTTATTTATTGATAATGCCTGAAAAGGATTGAAAGAAATCTATCTAGGCAGAAGGGAAAGAATACTAACAACTTATTAAGGCTTAGTGCAGCTAAAAGGGAAGTGGATAATAACATCAGAAAAGCTTTGTAACACAATTTTTACACATTAATTCACATATGCTTTACAACTAAATATCACTGCTGGCTTAAGCGATGCAAAAATATTTGGTTAAAATACCTTTTCCCTCTCTTCAGGAGAAAGGCGCACATTACGTGAACTCATTGCCAGGCCATCATTCTCACGTGCTATTTCAGCACCGATCACTTTTATGGAAAAATCAAGATCACGAACCTTCAAAAAAATCAACCAGTCAATCTACGAACCAACATCTAACAGCACTAATAATCATAGCATCAAGCAGATTTGTTTGACAATGCTAACTTCATTGATTTTTCATTAGTGACATTTGTAGTGTTATACCTCGCGACAGCGTCCACATCTTAGACTTGAGAAGGGGCTGTTTAATGTTACGTCATACATTGGTCGACGTATGACCGATCCCTCCATACGAGGCAACTAAAATCCATTGAACATTCTAGTGATAGAGCCAGGGAATACTATCCACGGCTTTTTTTTGCTAGAACAACATTATTCCCAGAGAACTAGTTATGACAATATCAAAAAAGCAGTACGAATAACATTCACTGTCATACCAGAATTAAAGGAATCGGTGCTAATGGAAATAATTTCCCATCATAATGGAACGCCTGTGGCCAGAGGAAAGGGAAGTTGAAAGATAAATTTGTTTTAAGATTCCATTTCATTTTATTTTTTTGCAAGAACCATTTACACCTCAAGTTACAAAATTCAGTGACTAATTCATTGTTTAAGTTGTCTAACAGACCCTAAATCATGATTTTGGTTCGTTCAGGAACTAAATTAACACTTATCTACATATTCAGATACCTAAATTGTGATTTGCCCTATTTAAACCAATCTATTATCTCTTTTCTTATAAATAAAAACAGAAAAGCTCTGAAAAATTGATTACCATCCTCTGAATAACTCTCCACTGTTGATAATCCTTTTTCCCGAACACAGCCACATCCGGTTCCACTATATTAAACAACTTGGTCACAACGGTAGCCACCCCTCTGAAGAAATGGGGCCTACTCTTCCCACACAGCCCTACTTCAAGCTTTTCGACCCTCACCCAACTCTCGTGCCCCAACCCAAGACTTTCAAGGCAAGACGCCGCCGCGCCACCCTCCTCAACCACCGCGTCACCACTATTATTTCCATAATCGTACAGATTGTGGGGATGGAAGACGACGTCGACGCCTCCGGGCAGCGAGGCGAGTTTGCGGAGGTCACCGTGGAAGTCGGAGGGGTAGGTGGAGAGGTCCTCGGAGGGCGCGAACTGGCCCGGGTTGACGTAGATGGAGACGGCGACGACGTCGCAGAGGGAGCGGGCTTGGGAGACGAGAGAGAGGTGGCCCATGTGAAGGAAGCCCATTGTGGGGACGAACCCAATTAGCTTGCCTTGGGCCCGCATGGAGCGAGACCAGTTCCGCATCTCGTTCTTGTCGGAGATCAACTTGGGCGTTGTCGAGGCCATTCCAAATTGTTCGGAATAAGGAACCGAATGGAATGGAACTTTACTGAAGAAGTAGCTCTCAGACGTACTACTTATCAAGGCTTTGGTGAGTGTGTGGTTGTTTTTGTCGTCAAGCACAAAAATGTCAATTCAATTTTATTTTATTTTTGTTCTTTAACCTAATTCATGTTTTTTTTTTCATATTTAGTTAGTTTAATGCTAAGTAAATTAACTTCTTATTTTATTTTCTATATCTTAAACTCAACACAATCATATTTTATTTAACCCATTTGAAATATCTATCTACAAGATTAACCCGCATCCAAAATAAATATTTTGAAATTGAATGCGAAAATTTTAATAATTTTATATCCAAAATTATTAACAGTGTGCTCTATTCAAATTTTAGTATATGTTTTCAAATAGTGAAATATATATAGAAGGTATACTTGAACTTCTTTTCATGGTTATAGTACTATTGGATGGATTTATTTAATACAATTTGACAGTAATTATAAGTATAAACCAATTGCTCCCATAATTTCTCTTAATTCTATACTTTCTACATTAAACTTATCATATATTATTATAAAATATAATAAAACATAAAATGGGTAATAATTTATTTATAAATAATAGCAGTAAAGTAAACGTGCACTATCAAAACGTAATTAATAAAAAAAGTGTAACTATTAATTACTTTACATGAATATTACATTTCATATTTTGATGTGTAAACCTATAATATTATTAAAACTTATGTCTTAAATAATGTTTAAACAATTTTCACTTTCATTATAAATAAAGTTAGTTAGTATTCTTTTAGCTTATACACCAAGTATATGGCTCATAAAAATAATATTTTATTGAAATAAACAAAAGAATTGAATATTATTATTCTTAATTAATTAGAAGTATGTTTCATTCTATTTAATTCCCATTATAATTTATTACATCAAGATCTTCATTCAATTTAATTCTTCACTCTTAGAAAAACTCCATAAAAAATAGGCAAAGAAAAAAGAAGCTAGCTCTTGATACACACCTATTCACAAAGTTGATGAACTTAACAAGCTAATTGGTCTCTAAACGAAGAAATTTCCTCAAAAATCGGAAGCCTCTTGGATCTAATTGGGCCCCATTCATTCACTAACCGTTCCAGGCCTTTTATGAACTCATCATCCAGGCCCAAAAGATCTGACAAATGTGGTGGAGGTAGCATGGACCTCAACTCTGATAGCAGATCTTCGGCCCGTTTCCTTGACTTGGTGTCGTCTGAGCCTGGAAGGTTTCCTTTTAACACAGCTTCAAGAATCAATTGGGCCTCTTCATATCTCGCTTGTCTAATGAGGCATAGGCCCAAGTTACAGGCCTTGTTACAATCTGGATCAATCATTTGGGCTTTCCGATACACCACTTCGGCCATCATGTAGTTCGTCTTTTGCATGTAGGCCCAGCCCAGATTTCCCTGTACAACAATAATAGTGTTAAAATATGTCACTGTCCAAAAACTATGGTAATAATCTTAAAAGTTGAAAGATTGGTATAAAGTAAATAGTTGGTTAAGAAAAGAAAAGAAATTAGATTCATAGGTATACTATACACGTGATTGCATTTGTACTATAATTTTTCCCACTTGAATTACTAAAATAACTTTAATTATTGTGATCCCAAACCCACTTTTATTTTTTATTCAAACAGGTTTTAAAAAAACTAATAAATATCTTAATAAGTAAAACGATTTTTTTTTTAATTATTCTTACAATATCTTATCTTAATTTTCATGTGAGTGCAGGGTTAGATATCCATTAATTAATCAATAGTTTCATTCCTTTTAAAGTATAATTTTTATTTTATTTTCCATTATACATTTAAAAAAAACATGAATTACTCTTTTATCAATTATATTCTTTAATTTATTTTAATATTTTAAATCATCATTACAAATTTCAAAAATGATAAGAATTGAAGAATTACTCAATAAAATAGATAAATAGTATAGTAATAAAGATGTTTTAAGAGTTTAATGATATACTTTGACAATATAAAACTATTTTCCAGTCACAAATTATCATTAATATCACAAATTATCATTAACATAAATTTTAAAGTAAATTACCCTAAAAATTAATGAAGTTATATCATATTATAATGTCCGTAATTAAAATCATTCTATATTTTCATGAATGACAATTTTTTCAGGTTTTTTTATTATATTATCTGTAATTAGGGGGCAGTGAAAAATCATTCTATATTTTCAAGGATGGAATATTTTTTCATAGTTTTGTTATTAGGGTACAATGTCATAATTGTAATTTTAATATACTAATTAATGAGATATTAGATAAACTAAAATAAATATTATTTTTCATTATTTTCAATAAATTTATATAATAGTATTTAGATGTTTTAATATTATTTTTCATGCAAAATTACTCTTCATAACTTGATTCTTGTAGCCGTAGCATATTTTTAATTAGGTCCCATAAATATGAAAAAGTGAATACGAGTAAATGATATCTTTAAGTAAATAAATAAAAAAGGTTAGGTGAAGATAAACTACCAGTAATCTTGAAGTTTCTTGTTTTATAGAAACTTGAAACTTTTTGCCATGAGATCGTGCTGTCTTGGTGAGTTTTCCATTGAAGGCTTCACCTTGGTATATCAACTTCAACTTACGCTTCAGCAAATCTATTTGCTCATCTATTCTTCCACATTTCTATCATTTCAACAAATTCAATTCAACTTAATCATCATTAATCAATTACCAGTATTTTTTTCTCACTATGCACATACAAAATGAACATAAAAAGCATTGATTAAGAAAAAAAAAAGAGAGAGGTATATATATATACCTTGTAAAGATCTATGAGTACATTATCAAGGGACTCTTGGGATTGTTTGGAGCAGAGCCCTCTAAAGGAACGGATGGCTTCAATGGCTTCTTCAGCTCTGTCCAGTTGCTTCATCACCACCGCCATATCCTTTAGGGCACTGTCCACTTTATCCCCACAATTTATTGCTTTCCAAAATAACACAATTGCTGCTTCTGGGTCCTTCTCTACCAGCTTCATAATTCACATCATTATTAATTATTAATCATCATCATTATTGCCTCAAATCCTTCATCAACCAAAAATTAATTTCATCAACAAAATCTTCACTCTACCAAAAATCCATCATCAAATTCAACTATGTTATTGCTATGCAACCTTTGCTTCCTCAAATTCAAATCATGCATCATATACAACCTCGTGATCATCCCATTCAATTTTCAAACATCATTTCCCTGTTTTCTTGCTTCCCAAATAAAATATATATATATATATATATATATATATATATATATATATATATATAAATAAAAAAAAGTCAATATTCAACAACAACAAAAATAACCACAGCTATATATGGCTAATAATTTCACTTGTGCTTTAAAAAAAGCGAGAAAGATCAATTAGATTCATGTTTCTTCAATCAAACAAGGAAAGTGGGATCATACAAATCTAACGTGAGAAGAAATATCAATCTTAACCTCCGTATCAACGTCAAACATAGAAGCACAAGTGGTGTAATTTAGAGATCGATCAATTAATCAAACCCCAGAAAAAAAATAACATAAAAGCGAGAAAATCTTAATCTAAAAATGGGTATGGATAGTTAGAGTTGTTGAAAATCATTAAGAAAAATATACTAAACCTATATCCATTAAACCATCTTAAAAAAATGAGTGGAACTTATTTGAGATTATAAGACGCAGATTATGTACCTGGGCATGTTTTGCTCTGACATAAGGGCTATCCCCATAAGGAACCTTGTGGAGTACATGGTACAGGTCTTCTTTTTTTCCTTTGAAGGAACTCTTGTTGTTGTTGGAGGCACTTGTTTCTTCCATCATTTCTGTGAGATGCAGAAAAACAGAGGCAAAATAAGAAAGAACAACAAAAGTAGGTGTTCTTCTTCTCTCTTTCCTTTATCCTTAGTTAGGATTTCACGCTTTCGAGCTTCAACGACGCAAGTTGTACTGTGGAGGGAGGTTTGAACAACGTTGTGAACCTGGACGGATTCGCATCCACGTTCCTTTTCGTCTGATTTCACACGCTGTTGAGTCAATCAACGACTCTTAGTTCAGCATGGGGGACACGTGGTCGCCTCAGATTTTGGCTTCCGAAACTAAGTGCACCACATTGTACACAAAAGTAAACAATATATATATATATATATATATATATATATATATATATATATATATATGATTTTTAAAAGTTTATATTAGTTATTTATATTTAAAAAAATAAATAACTAACTAATTATTTTTAAAATTATAACAATTACAATTAGGTTTAATAAAAAATATATGACAAATATATTTAATTTAAAAAATAAACTATTCTGTTTTATGAAGTTTGAAAAGGTTTATTTCACTGAAATATATAACTTTTATCGGGATAAAATAATCATAACAAAAAGAAGACCAGACATAAAATAATTCATCTTAAATGTGAATGTTTTTATCAAAATAAAGAGTGAGGTAGTGAACAATAATATGATTATTGTTTTGTTATTTTTTTTTTCATGGGAGTGAATAATAACCCTAGAAACTTAAGTATACGTAATATATGATTATTCTCCCTCCGGTTTATTATTAAATAGTTTAATTATTTTATAATTTAACATCACATTGCATGTTTAACTATTTATGAAATATGTTTTTATTAATGAAACTAAAATTTTAAATAATTATCAAAAGTTAAATCAAACTAAACAAGTTTATTATTATTATTATTATTATTATTATTATTATTATTATTATTGTTTTATTTTTCATTTTCTTGCCTAATTTAACCAAGTTATTTTTCTATTTAAAAATTTTCAAGTACATGTGATTTTAAGAATTATAAACAATTTTAAAAGACTTGAAATGTAAAGAAAAAGGATAAAAAAAAGTGATTTTTTTCAAAAATTTTATTTATTTCCATGCTTTAAGATATTTTTATATATATATATATATATATATATATATATATAATATTTGTTAAAAGGAAAAATTACATACAATGTTAAAAAAAAAATCATTTAGAAAATTGGGTCGCGAATGTATATATATATTTATCTTGAATTTAATTAAGATCATAAGTTGCTAATATTATACAAGTAATTTTTATTTAGTTCAAACAAATTAAATTGATTTTTTTTTACTTTAGTTAATCATATTCTGAATTTTTGAACTATAGTCTATTTTTTTAGGAATTGAACTAATTAATTATTTGAACTACATTCTTATTATATATTCGGAAGAGATGACAAAGAGAAATTATTATACTCTAGTTTTTTTTCTTAATCAAAATTTACATATAATATTTTTCTATTACCAATGTATAATTACCTACTAGCTTTGAAAGATAAATCATGCCAAATAAACTAATATAAATGTAAAGTCAAATGAAATTATTCAAGTAATTAACAAAAGGTAAAATTTGTATCTTAAAGTGTAGAAGGTTGTACCATTCTCCCAACATAATATTCAGTTTATGTATTTTGTATATCGAAACAAAATTTAACAAACAAAATTTATTACTTAGATTTAATTTTATTGATAAAAAACATATGATTGAAACTCATGTAAAAGAATCACGACTTTAAAACACATTGTGTACAATTAAGTTATTTGTTTTTAAATATTTATAATAGTTTAATTATTGTACTGAATTATCGTTTTAAATAGTTAATTTTAAAGAATGAACTAAAGACAGTTTGAGTTAAATTGAAATAAGTTCATTTCTTTTAGAATTTTATTTAGTTATTTTTTAACAGCGGTCACTTCTTTAACAGCGGTTATATCTCAATTTTTTTAAATTAAATACAGTTTCAGAAAAAAAATTATTAAAATTATCTTTTAAATGATGATTTTAATTAAAAAAATTAAAATTGTATTTGAATATATATTTTTTAATTATTTTTTTAATATTGAGGTCGTTGACGATTTTAATCACATATTTTTTATTAATCTTTTTTATTTATTAAAAATTTGATTTTAATATTATTAAAACAAAAATAATTAATTAATTATTATTTAAATATTAATAATATTAAATAAATTTTAAATATATTAAATTGTTGAAAATAAAATATTAATATATTAAGTAAATATATTTTAAATAATCATTTTGTTACGAATATGTTTTAAACAAAGAAAAAAGTCAGTAATTATGAAAATGTAAAATTTCATTTTCTTATATAATATGTGTATATATATATTTTTTAACATATATATATTTTTTTCAACAATTTAATATATTTAAAAATTATTTAATATTATAGACATTTAAATTATAATTAATTATTTTATTAATTTTTAAAATATTAAATAAAAATTTTAAAATAAAATTTAATTTACAAATATAAATTAAAATTATCAATTAATTCACAAATTTTAATATAAAAAAATTAAATTAAAGTCGTCAACAACTTCAATCTATAAGAAATTGAATTAAAGTTATGAATTATTTGATGACTTTAGCTGAAAAAAACTTATACTAAAAATACAACTTCAAATAAATTATCACATGAATGTATAACTATAACTAAAATCGTCTTCTCATGTATGACTTATTCGTGGTGAAGGCATACATCAAAGCACGACTTACTCATGTCTAATATTTTTACAAATTTATCCATTTCGAAAATAAATAAAACAAAATGCACTACTTTCATAAATTTATTGGAAAGATCATTTGGCAGAGAAACTAAAACATGTTTTTATTATTTATTTTAATTACAAACACTGAACAATTAATTTTATATTTTGAAGATAAAAACTTAACTTACCTCCAGAATTTGAAGAACTTAAAAATATATTTAAGGATAACTTTTTTTAGATTTAAGTAAACTTATGATATGTTAGACATTATATATAAATGAAATTTATTTTGATAGTAGAAAATTTCCTTAATAGTTCATAACATATACCTAAATCCATTTATATAAAATTAAAAAGCACATAATTTATTAAAGAAAGAGTTTGAATTAACCCTCCTAATTAATTTCATTATTAATTACTACCTTCCATTAAAGTCAATCCAACGTCATCCATCGAAATTTACACTCTAACCGAATAAACCTAATTCAAAGTCATGAATTCAAAATTTAAATTTTAAAATATATAAATTTCTGTTTCACAAAATGATTTTTTTTTAGTTTAAGTCAAGTTTGAGATAATAATTTACCCATTTTCATTTTATTTTTTTTGCCAAATTATATTTTTTCTCTATTTTAAAAACCCATGATGATAGTGTATTGGCAATTTAACGATAAATCAAAGTAATTTTAATTTTAGTGGATATCGAGTAGTTATACAGACGCTATTAGTATAACATTTTCTCGGCAACAGTTAAAGTCAATTTGATTTTTTTTCTTAATAAATATGATGTGTAAAAGTATTATCCTAAAAACTGTAGATTCCATTAAGTCAGCATTTCTAATATCACTTATAACTTACACCACATCAAATATAATAATAAAAATCCAAATTTAAGATTTATGCCAAAATTAAATAAAAATTCATCACAAAATTAAATAAAACTAAATTTAAACAGATTTTTCTTTAAAAAAATATTTAATAGAATTATAAGTATCACTTTATCAAACAAAGTTATATTTATATTAAAATTATAATTAACTAACTTATCTACATATTCATTTATATATTTTAAATTCACTTACATGCTTTAACTATTTTACAATCCGTAATAGATTTAACTCACAAGTATATTCAAGTATGATATTTTCATAAATAATTTGAGTTTATGTCTTATGTTGATAAGTCAAAAATTGATATTTGATTTTTTACTCATAAATATACAGAAAAATTAATTGGAACAGAATGCACATGTATAATTTCATAAATGATAAAGAGGTTATTTTTTGTGTTATATGAGAGATATATTTTATAAAACAATAAAAAAAAATAAGCATATAGAGAATATAATAGAGGGGTTGAAAAAAAAAGTGAAACAATATAAAAATGTGAGAAAATATATTAATAATTTGTTTTAATGTTTTGGGAGAAAAATAAATAAATGGGATCAAAATTATAAATATATAAATAAATATATTTAATGATTACTAAATTAGAAATAAAATTTATAAGTATAAAATAAAATAAATTACAAAATTTTAGCGTGATCACCTTAAACTTGAAAAAGCGCTAACCTATTCTTAACTTTATCAAGTTGTAATATTGATAATTTATAAATCAATTTTTTTATTAATTCTGTTATTTGTTATTATCTTTTCATTAAGGTAAGTGAAAGTTAAAAAAAGTTGATGACGATTATTATATATAATATGTTATAGTGGATATTTGTAAAATGAACATCCTAAAATTAATATAAAAATATGTATTCATAACAAATTGTTGGATATACCATAATTTGAGAATCCCATTTAATTTAATATAATAATAATAATAATAATAAATTTCAAATATTATTATTATTATTATTAAAATGAAATGGTAATTTTATTATATTAAAATAATTATTTATCAAATATCATCATGAATATTTTGGTAGTGGGCACTGCAACCCTAAATCCATTTATACGAAGTAAAAGGACACACACAAGTCTATTATTAAAGAATATCTGGATTAAAAAGTGCATAAGAGATGTAGGTTATTTTTTAATTTTGTAATGGTGTATTAATAATGGTACAAAAAATTTAAAAATTATGTTAGAGATTTTTAAAATTAATCCCATGTGGCTTAATTTTCCAATAGGTTAGTGAACCCTCTAGCTCATTCATATTTTATGCAGTGTAATTCTCATTAAATGCTTAAACCATATCTATGTCCTAATTTTCAGTTTTTAGCCTCACTACATTTTAATTGTGGATATGACTTTATAACTCTCTAAAAATGTGGAGCATCAATATTTACATTAGTAACATTTGTGCCACATGAAACTTTATCATAGAGTTAGGTGCATTCAAACTTTTAATGAACTAACCAAACTTAATCAATGTTTTGAATAACTTCCAAACTTATTAATGTTATTAACTTGTGATGAAATTCAAGTATATAAGATTAATCATGCATGCATTTAATTTTACGACTTATTATTCAACCCCTTTGGATTATTAAATGTAATTGATTTATTAATAATTATTTAAAGAGGATTTTATAATAACAAATTTATGATTTAATTAAATATGATTATTTGAATAGTTAATCAATAATTATTATGAATAACAAAATAGATTAGTTCAACAAACTATCTTGGTATGGTAATCCATATAATTCATATAATTTGATAGATTGGATCGATAGTTTTAGGCTTTTGATTCAACTTGTTCCACCTATCATTTTTTAAAATATTTATATATTAAAATAAAAATAAATTATTATATTATTAAAAATATAAATATATTATAATTAATTAAATTTAAATTATTGATTATAATGGAGTATTTTAACACATAAATTTAATGATTTTATAATTTATTTAATAAAAAAATTAATTAATAAATAAAAACTTAAAAAAATTCATATAATCAAAGATGTATTTAAAATATATTTATATATATATATATATATATATATATATATATATATAATTAGAAAACTGATCACTAGTTTATTATTAGCTTACTTTTTGATAAGATAGATTAGTAATAAAAATGGAATAAAACAAGATAAGATATGCTTTTGATATCCCTAATCATTATAATTAAAACATATTTTATAACTAATTAAATATCTATATATAAGATAAAGTCTGATTTAAAACACTAATGATAATATATGTACCAATTATTGTTTATGGAGTTATAATACCATCTATATTTTTTAGTTGACTTGAAGTTGGAAATGTTTTGTAGATTCATTTTTTTTTTCATCTCTGAAGTCATGGTCTCAAAAAAGATTGAAAAACAAATTAAAGGGAGAATTATAACAGGAAAGACCCAAGAGTATGTGGTGGTGGAAGGAATGTGAGTTCTAATAACAATTAATATTTGCGAATAAGTTTTTATTCATTTATTAAATGTTACATTTTATTTAAATTACACGATACAAGCAAAGCTTATGGTAACTTTGTCCCTCACCGTTTTAGGAAGAAAAAGGGTAGAGGAAGAAAAGGCAACGGAGAAGAAAGGGAGTATTTGCAGGAAGCTAAACCTAAGAGAAATAAATAGAGAGCAGAAAAGAAAAGGAGAAGTTATCAACAAGCCAATTGGTCTCTAAAGGAAGAGATTTGCTCAAAGATTGGAAGCCTTCTTGTTCTATTTGTGTTCCATGCATTTAGCATGTCATCAATCCCTTTGACAAACTCATCATCAAGGCCCAAAGCATCCACAAACTCAGGTTGGGGCAGATTACCATTCAACTCTTCAAGCAATTCCTCAGCTCTTTTCCTTGATTTCATCTCATCACACCCTGCAACTTTTCCTTCTAAAACCTCTTCAATTACGTAATATGCTTCCTCATAACGAGATTGTCTCATAAGGCACAGGCCCAAGTTGCAGGCCTTGTTCGCATCAGCATCAACCATTTGGGCTTTCTTGAACACCACCTCAGCCATCATGTAGTTCTCTTTTTGCATGTAGGCCCACCCCAAGTTTCCCTGCACCATCATTCAATCTATTAAAAAAATCATACCAAAATTTAACATCATAGTTTATGATTGAATCACGATATAGATAACTATTTTCTCAAAGTTAAATAAATTGTCTTTGTTTTCTTGTTTACTGTTCTTGGGTTAAGGGTCCTAATTAATCCTTTCTTATATAGCACGATGCTCTCTAAGAGAATTCACACCAAATTCAAAGCTGGCATGAGTAATTTAATTATTTAGAACTGAGAAATGGTCAACAATGATGCATGGTATTATGTTAGCCATTTTGTTGAAAAGTTTCATTATCTTTTTTTTTTTTTTTTTAAGATTCAATATTTAAGCAAAAGTTAAAGAAGAAAATTGTCAAATTAAATAAGAAGAGATAATTTAAGTACCAGTAATCTTGCAGTTTCTTGCTTGATGGAAACTTGGAATTTCTTGCCATGAGAGCGAGCAGTCCTTGTGGTCCTCCCATTAAAGGCCTCACCTTGGTAGATTAGTCTTAGCTTTCTCTTTAACAATTCTATTTGCTCCTCTATTTTCCCACATTTCTGTTTTTGGGAAAAATTATTAGAATTTTTCGTAATTGATCATTATGATGAAGTAAAAATTATGCGTTTACATCGTCACCATTATTTTGAACTTAAAGAATCATATAAGTTGAATTGAAAGGATTCATTGTTCAAAGCAGGTGTTTATGCATACCTTGTAAAGGTCAAGAAGAACATTATCAAGTGACTCTTGCGAGTGTTTAGAACAAAGGCCTCTAAAAGATTTGATGGCTTCAATTGCTTCTTCAGATCTATCCAATTGCTTCATCACAACAGCCATGTCCTTCAGGGCACTGTCCACTTTATCTCCAGCATTTATTGCCTTCCAAAACCACACTATAGCTGCTTCTGGGTCCTTATCAACCAACTGAACTCATACCATTTCGTTCCCAAGAAAATAATATTAGTATTCAGTATCAAACTATCATTGTTCATTCAAAATATATTGAAAATACATCAACTGTTACAGTCAAGAGGTTTGATGAATCAGTTATAGTTGTATATGGATCTCTTTGCATACTCAAATGACACTAGATCTGATCTCAACACAAGCAAGATTATCATTTACCACATATTATTCTCACTGTTGGGAGATAATCATGTATCAAGGACTAATGCATGGTGGTTTAGAAGTAGTTTTGAAAAGCAATTATAATGATACTCGGGTTTTATCCTCTTTTTACTTTTGGTCACTAATAGAGTCCGAGTTGCAGTCAGTGTTGTATTGAGAACTAAACTTCAAAAGTTTGACCACCAGAAGAAAAAGATATGAAACTTTCTATCATATGAATAGCTCCAAAAATACAAAGGAAATATAATCCTAGAAGATGTAAGATTCTGTGAAACTTAGAGAAGCACCAGATCTAAAAGGTATGATGAAAAATGAATGTAGGAGTTATAGTACTTTACTGTGTAGATGAAGTAAAGTGGAAATATTAACCACCTCAAGGTTTTCAATTAAAAGTCAACAAAATACATAGTTCATTACATGTCCACGCTTTTGAATATGTTTTTCAGAAACAAACAGAGTACGACTTGTTACAGCATGATGCCATAGACATAGTGGTCAATTCCGAATGACCCTTTTTTCAGTGAGGACCAAAACCCTTTTCTATTTCGATATCTCACAACCCAGAAGTACACAAATAGCAGCATACACTTTCAACGACCCCAACTATTGTGAATCAACAAATTATTGCAGAAGAAAAAAAAAACATAAAATTAAGGTTGAAATCAAGAAGCACAAAAAGATGGTGCAGTTTTATGATATATGTGGACAAAAATGATATTCACTTGGTATTTCAGCCACCAAATCAGAGTTGGAACTAAGCAACAGAAAAAAAGTGAACTATAAAATTGAAAAGGGTAAGCATAAATATGCAAACCTGAGCATGCTTGGCTTTGACATAAGGAGTATCTCCATAAGGCACCTTATGAATAACATGGTAGAGGTCATCTTTCTTCCCTTTTAAACCTTTCTTGCAGACACTAACTCCTTCCATATCTCTCACACAGATTCACACAACGAAGCGTTTCAATTTGTTGCTCCTGTTTTGAGGTACACATGCACCTAATGAGTTATGAAGAGGATGAGAGAGAGAGAGATAAAATGTGAAGGGAGGGTCTATTCTCATAAAGAGAAACCGAAGACACAGGAGGATAATATATACAAAGGAATCTGTGACATAGCACTGAATATAGATGGGAGTGCGTCCACATTCCCTTGTGCATAGTCTCACACACAACAACTAATCATGCACCCCTCAAACCTAATTGCCATGCGCCACGTGGCATTTTGTAATAAAAATTGTTTTACATGTCTTTTTGCTCAGAGTAAGGGATAGAGTGCGAATTTCGTACCATGTTCACTCCAGGATCCTCTTCAGTCTTCACTAGAAGAAACAATTAAGAATGCTTTTTCTCTTTTTCAGAAATTTCAAGCGCTGATTCTTTCCATTATGGTTATGCTGAATTTGATGTACATGTTTACCAACAATTTAGTTTTTATGTGTTGAGACACAAGAAAATATTCACCCAGATGATTAAATTGTTTTTTTTTTTTTTTTAGGAAAATTTTTGCACTGATTTATTTTAATGATGAACTAAATTTGATACATATTACCAAAATTGGAGAGACTTGGAGAAGATTGTGTTAGGTTAAACTCTAATTGAATATGATCTTCGTTCTAACGATCAAACACATGTATAATCCCATACTGTAGACATGTTATAAACTAAAATGCGAAAGCGTACCTGATTTGACCATAATGACGATATCCTTTGTAGAGCACCTTTGATTTGATCTTATGGTCTTCCACCTGAAGAGCACCTGTATTTTCCCTCTTGATTTTCTCTCTTGATGGGGATAGAGAGAAAGGAACGGGACTGTAACTACGTTCTGTGTGTGTGCTCCCAGAAGGGGACCATGACCCCTTAAATAACCAAAATTAGGTTAATTACTTAAATTTTAGTATTTCCAATTTGGCCCCTCATCAAATTAGAAATTACTCTATGGTCTCTACACAATTTTATTTTCATGACATATGCCTTTAGCCAAAACTTTAATTTATTCAGATCACTTTATTATTTGGCTTAATAAATAATGACCCTAACACATTTAAATATGTATCATATATATACGTGACCCAAATTTTTCCAACAATCTCCCACTGGTCACAAATATATATGTCCTTACAACCTTACAAATGTGTTAGACTTTATGAGCTCAAAATTGTCATTATATTCCTTTAGCATATTCCAAAAGTCCTGTCCATTAATCATATCAGGATATAGAACCAAACCAGCTTTTCATTGCATCATCGCAACTAAAACCAACAAGATTACTCATCCTGACATAACCAAATGACATGGATTCATCATGAAATGTGTAGCATGAAAAAATACGTGAAGGTGATCTGTACACGTCTATTTTCAACTGGTCCAAACTTTAACTTATCGAGATCGATATAATAACCTTAATGTACAAAGTGTAATGAATGAACAAAAAAAAAACCGCATATCTATAGATAACCAAATATGTCCAAAAATTCAATGTATACATATATAAAATTAAACATAGAACATAAAATATATGAAAATGACTAACTCCCACTAAACCACAAATTCCTCAAACTCGTAAAACACCCATGTGAGCAACATGCTCATGAAAGACCTTGGGCTGAAGTCCTTTAGTTAGAGGATCTGCTATCATGGAGTTTGTCCCTAAATGTTCTATGGAAATCTGTCCACTTTGTACTCTTTCCTTAACAACTAGAAACTTAATGTCGATGTGCTTTGACTTAGTCGAACTTCGTTGTTGTTGGAATACAATACAGCTGATTTGTTGTCACAATATAACTTAAGTGGTCTTTCAATGCCTTTCACAATTTTCAGCCTCGTGACAAAATTTCTCAGCCATATTCCATGATTCGACGCCTCATAGCATGCTACAAATTCTCGCTGCCATAGTGGATGAAGCCGTAAGGGTTTGCTTGACACTCGCGCCAAGAAATCGCACCACCTCGCTAACATGAAAATGTAACCTCGAAGTGGATTTCAAACTATCTTGACATCCTGCAAAGTCCGAGTCGGAAAACCCGACGATCTCCAACCGGTCTAACCTCCCGTATGTGAGCATGTAATCTTTTGTTCTCTTTAAATATCTCATGACCCTTTTTGTCGCTTTCCAATGGTCCATTCCTGGATTGCTTAAATATCTCGCCTAGAACCCCAACTATGTATGCTATGTCCGGACGCGTACATACTTGGGCATACATTAAACTCCCTACAGCTGATGCATAGGGAATCTTTTCCATTTCCTCAATTTCCAAATTTCCCTTTGGGCACTCGATTGAGACTAAACTTGTCTCCCTTAGCAACCTGGAGTATCCCGGATTTACATTCATACATGCCAAACCTTTTAAGAATTGTTTCGATATAGCTCCTTTGTGATAATCCCAAAATACCCCGACATCGATCTCGGTGTATCTGAATTCCTAATACAAAAGACGCATTACCAAGATCTTTCATTTCGAAATTCTTTGATAAAAATTTCTTGGTTTCGTGCAATATGCCTATATCATTAGTGGCAAGTAGAATGTCATCAACATACAAGATCAGGAAAATATACTTACTCCCCTTAAACTTGTGATATACACAATCATCAACAATATTCATCTCAAAGCCAAATGAGAGAATTACTTGATGAAATTTATAGTACCATTGACGAGATGCTTGTTTTAGTCCATAAATGGATTTTGTCAGTTTGCAAACCATACTCTTTGAATCTCCTTGCACAAAATTTTCTGGTTGCACCATATAAATCGTCTCATCAATGTTGCCATTAAGAAACGCCGTCTTGACATCCATTTGATGAAGCTCTAAATCATAATGTGCTACAAGAGCCATGATTGTCCTAAAAGAGTCTTTCGATGAAACTAGAGAGAAAGTCTCTTTAAAATCAATCCCTTCCTTTTGGGTATAGCCCTTAGCTACTAGACGAGCCTTATACCTTTCCACATTACCTTTAGAATCCCGTTTGGTCTTAAATATCCACTTGCAACCAATGGGTCTCATACCTTCTGGTAATGGGACAAGTTCCCAAACCTTATTGTCTTGCATGGACTTATACTCCTCCTTCATTGCTTCGATCCACTTTTCGGAGTTAGAACCTTGCATGGCTTGACGGAAGTTAACTGGGTCATCTTCCATCATACCATTGTTTTCTTCATGTTCCCGAAGAAATACCATGTAATCATCCGAAATAGCACTTCTTCTTTCTCTAGTGGATCTCCGCAAAGTTATTGGCTCATGATGCACAGTGTTCTTGAGGATCTTGAGTTTGTTCTTCATGAACAACCAAATCATCTTGAGTAAGGGGTTCATTAACAATGCCTTGTGGAGGTTCCGAACTTACTTTATCAAAAGTAACTCGTTTGAATCGGTTCGGAATTGTTACCGATTCTTCCTCAAAGACAAAGTTCCCGATTTTATTCTTCCCCCCAAACTCAATATCCTCAAAAAACGTAGCAGCTCCCGTCTCAAAAATTGTCTTTAATGTGGGATCATAAAATTTATATCCCCTGGATCTTTCAAAGATAACCAATAAAATAACTACTTACCGTTCGGGAGTCCAATTTCTTTTCATTTGGCTTATAAGGCCTTGCCTCAGCTGGACATCCCCACACATGGAAATGCTTCGAACTAGGTTGTCGCCCAGTCCAAAGCTCATAAGGTGTTTTGGTCGCTGCTTTAGTTGGTACTTTGTTCGGAATATAAGTCGCCGTCTTTAGTGCCTCTCCCCGAGTGACTCGGTAAGGTGGAATGACAAATCATACTCCCGACCATATCTTTAAGAGTTCGATTTCGTCTTTCAGCTACACCATTCATGCTAGGTGATCCCGGCATGGTATACCGTGGGACAATTCCACACTCCTCTAGGTACCCGGCAAAAGGTCCCGGACGCCGTTCACTCGACCCGTCAAATCCGCCATAGTACTCACCACCACGATCGATCCGACAGACTTAATTCTTTTATTGAGTTGATTTTCAACTTCAGCCTTTAAATGTTTTGAACACGTCTAGAGATTGTGACTTTTCATGTATAAGGAATAAGTATGCATATCGTGAGTAATCGTCTATGAATGATATAAAGTATTGTTGACCATTCCACGAAGGTGTAGGAAATGGCCCACAAATGTCCGTATGTATCAACTCTAAGACGTCTGTAGCTCTATATGCACCTAATCTCTTCGCTTTGGTCTGTTTGCCCTTAATGCATTCAACACAAACATCAAAGTTTGTGAAGTCAATTGACTCTAAGATTCCAGTTGACACAAGTCGTTCAATTCTATTTTTAGAGATGTGACCTAAGCGCCTGTGCCATAATGCTCCTGAGTGAGTATCATCAATTTTACGTTTAGTACCCCGTGATTCTGTATTAAGGGTTTCATTATAGGTGGTCACAGTATCAAGTAAATATAGATTATCATAAGGCAAAAGTGAACCAGTTCCAATAATATCTGAATTAAAAGACAAACTGAACTTATTGTTTCCAAATGAACACAAATAACCTAATTTGTCCAGATAAGAAACTGAAACCAAATTCCGTCTAAATGACGGCACAACAAAAGTGTCTTTCAAATCCAAATAAAAACCAAGTACTCAATAACAATTTAAAATGCCCTATGGCTTCCACCTCTACCGATTTGCCATCTCCAACATATATCCATCTTTCAGAATCAATTGGCTTCCGGTAGCTTAGGCAACCCTTTATAGAAACACTGATGTTAGTAGTTGCACCTGAGTCTAACCACCAAGTGTTAGTAGGTACTGATGCTAAATTGACTTCAGAACAGACCAAAGTAGGAAACATACTTTTGAGGATCGGAACACCATTTAAATTGGCAGACACAAAAGCAATTGTAGACTGAATTAGAATAAAAGAAATAAACTAATTATGCTCACATTATAAAAAATAAATAAATAAATATATTCAAATAAA